AAGGATGTCGTTGGATATAGGAACGGATGTCGCCGGAGAGAGTGATAGATGGAGATGGAATGAGTTGCGATTTAGGGATTTAGGTTATAAGTTACTGCTGCTGCGTTGTTATATACCCAAAACATTTGTGTTAGGAAACTAAAACCTGTTGCGAAATTAAATTCACGTTGCGAATTTGAAATTCAGTTGCGAATTTGACTTCGCGTTGCGAAATTGGAAACTGGGTTGTGAATTTGAGATCGCGTTGCGAATTTGTTGGTCATTTTGGCAAATCCAAAAAAAAGTTGGTTAAACTCGTATATTATAAGACATTTTTGGTCTTTGAGGTTATTTTCTCTTTTTAATATCAATTGGAGTATTTATGAAGACACTCACTGCATTAATCATATGATCATTTGGCTATTTGTAGGCCGATAACTTAAGTAAATTCGATAGTCATACTTTGAATTTTATTCTAATGTATCATGTGAGACTATCAGGAGACTTATAAATCATAAGGCTTGTTTGTAAGTTGTAACTTATCGAAAATTTATATTTTAGAAGATGTAATCTAACAATTCCAATAACCAAAAAGGTTTTTGAAGGTAAACCTAGGGATGGGCATAAGTAGAGTTGGGTCAGATTTTTGTCCACCGACCCTAGAATAATGACTCTTCCACCTGAAATCTGACTCGACCCGCATAATATATACCCTCCACCCGAACCTGACTAGACTTTTTGAAATAAAATCCGAACCCGACTTGACCCCACCTGAAATAATAAAAAAATATTATTTTTATTAAATAAAAACAATGATTTAATTGAAAAAAAAATATTTAGAGGTGCATTATTATAATTATTCCAAAATATATAATGTAAATTATTTTTTTTCGGGTCGGATCGAGTATTTTTCACCTTAAATCTAAATCCGACCTGACCAGAACACTACATTTAAAAAACCAGACCGAATTCAATTTTTTTTAAAAAAAATCAACTCGATCAGGTCGGATCGAACCCGTTGAGTTCAAGTTTCATGCTCATCCCCACGTAAACCATCTCCAAAAATATAAGAATAAAATATTTAAAATAATATTTAATCATTAGTTTAATAAAAACTAATGCGTATATTTCGTGTTGAAGAAGGATTCATATATAATTAACTTTAAATAAGCCGAAAATGTCTGAACCTTCATGTATTTGTTAATGTCACCATCTTAGACTTATAAGCTTTAAATATTACTTAATAAAAAATGCTTTAAATATTAAAAAGGTCAAGGGAAAATTATGTATTCAATCTATTATTGATTTTTTCATACTTTGGATTCAATTTTTGAAAAAAAAATTTTATATAATCTTTTATTTCAATATAAAAGTGAGGAATTGTGGGAGTGGAAAAGTGTCCTGACTCACACTGGCAAAAGTTGAAGCACTGCTTAGGGACCCACTATGCACGTGGCAGCTCCAGAGTAGCAAACTAGCAGTTAACAGTAGGGGTATAAACGAGTCAAATCGAGTTCGAGTATCGTTGAGCTCGACTCGACTTGAAAATTCTGAAATGAAACTCGACTCGAAACCTCGTGAGCATAAAATTTTAAAGCTCGACACAAATTTTAAATCTTGAACTGAAGCTCGTGAGCAGCTCGAAAAGGCTAGAAATGAAAAAAAAATCTTAAACTTAACTCGATTGAAGCCTCAAATTTAAACTCAAACATGAATTTTAAATACATAAAATCTTACTGTATAATTTTTTAAAATATCAATACATAAATATATTATATTTTCGAATTGCTCACGAATTTTTCGAATCAAATATCAAGTATCTCATTTTGACTCGTTAAGAACTCAAGTCGAACTCGAACTCAAGTCAAGTCCATTCAATCCGAATATTTATTAAACCTTAATTAAATTAAACTCGAATAACTCGTAATATATCGCGTCTGATTTACACTCTACTTAACAGCAATGGCAATTGGCAAAGAGTGAGCGTTGATTGTCCAAAATTAATGCCTTGCACACTTGGGCCCACCAATACAACCTCAAAAGTCTGATATACCCCCACTTATTTTCAGGTATGAACCTGGATGGACTTAAATATAGATTGGGAAATTTATTACTTAAGAATTTAAAATTATCGTATATTTTAAATTTTTAAGATAAATTATGTAAATAGTAATTAATATTTGAGTAAATTTTTTTACTGAAATTTTAAAAATTAAAAATTAAAAATTAATGTTATTAATTTGTAAAAAATAATTACTCTGTCGTTATCTTCATTAAATTGATGACATGAAAATATATAAAAAAATATACATTTTTACATCTAAACTACTACTAAAACATCAAATAAATTATTGAACTATAACTTTATATCTATTTTACTCTCAAAAACTACTATTAAAATTCATTCTCACTCGAAATTTCTAAGCACTTGCGTCGGAGAATGATGGGTAACCACACCTAGGCCCATTTCCCCATCATATCCACCGCTGAGACCGACAGGAAAAGAGGAAGAGGCGGTACGTGTTTGGTATAGAGAGTGGCCATTCGGGGCGAGGAATTGGCCCAGAGCTTGGAGGGCCTTCACAATGCCATAAAAAACGAGACAGAAGAGATTGGTAAAGGGACTGGAGCACGTGATTTGACAGAGGAAGAGGGACATGAATCGTCGTTGGAGATGACGCAATCGTCACGAACGATGATGTTTTTCAACTTGAGGGACAAGAGCGTGGAAACGACACGGTACGACGCAGCAATGGTCGAGTGCTTTAATATCGTCGATCATGTTGAAGACTAAAAGGAGAAGAGAGTTGGGGAGACGGTCGAAGTGATCGATTGGTTCCGATGGGTTCCATGGATCGGATCTGCACAAAACGAAGACATAATAACCTTTTTTTTTAATATCGCCACGTCATCTTTTAACGGAATTGATGTTAGAGTGACTATTTAATTATAAATCGATAACATTAATTATCAATTTGTAATTTTTTAAAATTTTAATAAAAAATAAAAAATTATTTAAATATTAATAATTATTAGTGTAATTTATATTTTTTGTATTTTTAAATATAATTTATATTTCATTCCCTTATAATTTATAAATTTAAGTTTACCTTAAAATTTTACAAATTTAAATTTATCTTTTTTTAACATAAAATTTTGGGTCGCCTCTTCTTTATCTTCGCACACTCCGTATGCTCGTCTTCATCTTGTCATATTCAACACCTCACCCCCTGTACTATTCTCACGGTGTCTTTTGGAATTCTAGTTTTATTTATATTAATAATATAGTAAATGTGAACAATAGATATAATTTATTGATATAACTTAATAATTATTTATTAATAATTTAATGTTAAATGTTATTTTTTTAATTATTTTAATCAAGGAAGTTAAATAAGATGATGCATAATAATATAACAAATGATTTTTTATTTTGATAATTTCATTTTCAGTGATAATCTTAGGGTAGCAAGAAATGGGTATATTAGAACATAATTTCGTTCAAACAGGTCGTATATTAGAAGTATTTATTCAACTAAATAACTAAGTTTATGTACCTAATAGAACAAAAGGCCCAGTTGTGGTATCTAACTGGACAAGGAAACTTTATATACTAGGTTAAATCTTAAAATCAAATTTCCAAGAAACTGCAGCAATTACCAAGAAACTAGAGACCACCTTTTCCCCATTGTTTCTTGGATGTTGGTCTTTGAAAATCAATCTTAAACCTGAATGGGATGAATTATATGGTCTCTCGGGCTAGCTCAACTTGAAAAGGGAAGTCCCTTATCACCACCATCTTGAAGATTTCGTAGAATGCTTTTATCTACTCCTTGTGACAGGAACGAAATCAGGGAATGTTTCAGGGTTGATTTCGAACTGTTGACGTTATACTCAAAGAAATCATTGAAGTTGTTGGTATCCGGCTTAGGGGCAAATCTATTAACAGACTCGATAGTACTAACTTTTACCTTTATAATGCTTGGGGTATAGTCTAATCAATCATTGATTTTTTGTAATTAGGTTGATTTGTTTCTTTTGTTGATTAGTTGATTGGTTGTAGCATAACGTTACTATTTTGGGTAATAAAATTATGGATTATCCAACAAAAAAATCAAATTTCAACATCTAATCGAACTAATAAAATTTAAATATTAAATTAAATTTTAAAACAAAATTCATATATCAAATGTGTATATTGAACCTTGAAATCTTAGAATGATCGTAGGTATTGTAGATATAGATATTTCAAAAGTATAATCATTTATTTAATTATAAATTTTTATTTAAATATAAAAAATGTAATTAGATATTTCAAATTTCACAAAATTTAAGAATACACGAATTTTAAAAATTATCAAAATACACCACCACGGTTCTATAATTATATCTAAATTCAACTACTGCATTACTCTTCTAAGCAGCCCTCGATTTTTTTTTAAATTAAGGGGAATATGGAATACATAAAAATAAAGAGAATACATTGATAAAAATAGCGTAAATTACGCATTTAGTACTTAAGCTATCACTTTTTGTGTATCTTAGAACCTAAAATTTTAATTTTTTTAAATTATATCTAACGTTTAGTTTTCATTTTATTTTAGTATCTCGCCAATAAAAACTTAATGGATTTAATTCCTAAACTATCAGTTTTGACCCATTTTAGTATCTAAACTTTAAAAAATTTCGAAACTTAATCTTTAATTTCGAACATAGATGCTAACATGAAACAAAAACTAAAATTTTTAACATTGATGTACTAAAATGAAATAAAAACAAAACTTAATGTATTATTTTAAAAAAAATAAAAAATTTAAGTATTAAAATAAATCAAAATTAATAATTTAATTGCTAAACACATAATTTACCTTAAAAATAATAAAATAAATAAATACTAAATCTTATTTTAACATATTTTGTTGCAGTACACAATTTCCATACACTTGATGGTCATCGTATCACACCCACTCTCTTCCCTTCCACGTAACCCCCAACAAAAGGCCGAGGATTTCATTGCCCTCCATATCTCCATGGATTCTCTGTAAATCTCAAAGCACTCAGCTTTCAAAGCTCTCTTCAAAAAGAAAAAAAATCTATTTTTTAACTAAAAAAATGGAGAATTACTCTTATAACTCATACCCAGACTCCGGCGAATCTTCGCCGCGATCCCGAGAAATCGACTTTGAAAACCCACACCCATGGGAGGACCAACCGCAACACGCTCAGAATTACAAGGCGAAGTTCATGTGCAGCTATGGAGGTAAGATCCACCCTCGTACTCATGACAACCTGTTAGCTTACATCGGCGGAGAGACCAAGATCCTAGCTGTGGATCGCACTATCAAATTCTCCTCCATGGTTTCTAAACTTTCCGCTCTATGCGGCGGTGGTGACGGTGAGGTTTCGTTCAAGTACCAGCTTACCGGCGAAGATCTCGACGCCCTTATTTCTGTTACAAACGATGATGATCTGGAGCACATGATGCATGAATACGATCGACTTTATAGAGCCTCGGCTAAGCCGGTGAGGATGAGGCTTTTCATTTTTCCACCGACTGGTCTGGCGAGTTTCGGTTCAGAAGAGGCGAAATCTGAGCGCGACCTGTTTGTCGAGGCTTTGAATTCCGGTCCGACTCCGGGTGTCGAAAAACACGCCGCGGTTCAAACGAACAATATGGATTACTTGTTTGGGCTCGAAAAGGGGATGCCTCCATCTTCTCCGGTGAGAATCGTCGATCCGGCGGCGGATCCAGTGAACGCGCCTCCTACACTGGAAGCCGTGGCGGCGGATCATGGTTTGAATCCGGCTGATTTTCAGAGGCAGCTACAAGAAATGCAGAGGCTTCAAATCCGGGATCAAGAACAGCTCGCTATGTATCGAAAGATGGCTGAAGATGCTGCTTCCATGGCTTATTCCGGTGAATATTACGCACAGAAGTTACCTGAAAAAGCGCCGCCGGTGAACGTACCGGTAAATTTCCAGCAACATGTGCCGGCTACAGGTGGATTCTGGTCGGATAAGCCAATTTCCGCAGGAGTTTTCCCGGAAACCGTGACTTCAAACCCCGGCCCGCCGCCGCCGTCCGAACATCCCGTCTACATGATCTCAGCTCAAGGATCTGCTCCGGGAACTGTCTATCACGTGCCTCCACCAGTTTCGGCTCCAGCACCTGGAGCACCACCGCCACATATGGGTCGACCTGTACCCGGTCAAGGCTACTACACCAACGTACAAAGAATGGCACACCCACACGAATTCTACCGGGAGCAACCTGTTTACAACATGGTGGCACAACCTCCGCCGGCTCAACAACACCCGCCAATATCCGGCATGACGCAGCAGATGGTGAGGCCGCAGAGCGGTGGAGTATCACCGGATGCTGCATACGCACACATGGCGGCGTACGACAGGCAGGTTTATTACACTGCGCCGGGAGGTGGTGTGGTGCCACCTCAGTACCAAGGCGTCGGCATGGCTGTTAGTGGTGAAACGAGAAGCGGCGGCGAGGCTAAATTGCCAAATAAACTCACTCAAGGCTCAGTTTGATTTAATTATCAAAAGAATTGGTGAGTATATTTTATCATTTTCAATCCATATTTCAATCCGTATTGCTGCGTCTTGTAGTATATCAAGTACAATTTCAAGTTATTGCCACTTAAAACACTGTGTTCTTTTGTTTTTTTAAGCTTGTGAGCTTGTTTATTATTATATCTTATAGTATAATTTCAACCAACTCTCCCCGACTCAGGTTTTTAGGTAGGTTTTGTGAGTTTTAGATCAACTCTATCAAAATTTGATAAATACTCGACTCGAATAGATTCAAACTCAAGCTCAATTTGAGTTCTTAATGAGTTGAAACGAGTTATTTAATATTTGACTCGAAAATCTCGAAAGTAATTCTAAAATATAATATATTAAGATTTTATTTTTAAATAAATTATTAATCATATTAACATTTATATGTGTATTTTTTTCTTTAAAAAATGTAGAGTAAGATTTTTATGTATTTAAAATTTTGATTTGAGTTTGAGGTTTTAATTGAATTTTATGTATGTAAGATTCATATTTAAGTTTGATGCTTTAATCGAGTTAAACTTAATATTTTTTTTATTTGAAGTTATTTTTTTGAATTTTTACGAGTTTTATTTCATGATTTAGAATTCACATATCGAATAACAATTAAAATGTATAGAACTGAATCATATTCGAATAGCTCATAAAACTTGACCCATGAAGCTAAGTCTAGTTATTTCTTACTTAAAGGGATGTATTGTCAAATCTACGAAATGATTTCAACGATTAAAGGGAGTGTTATTCTCTTTAGAAATCTCGAATTGGCGCTCTATAAGACTTAGAAGTGCATGTGTCATTAATAATTAAAAAATGATATGAACATATATCATCTTATAATCATTTTAAATTAATAAAAAAATGTACAACTGCATGTTGATAGATTCTCCGCCAAATGTAATTATCACTCTGTATAATCGTTGGTATTTGAACATATAAATTTCATAAATAACAACGATTCTCTTAAACAATTAAAATGTACATGACTAAATCAGATTCGAATAGCTCATAAAACTTGACCCATGAAGCTAAGTCGAGTTATTTTTTACTTAAAGGGATGTATTGTTAAATCCATGAAATGATCTTAATGATTAAAATGAGTGTTATTCTCTTTAGAGGTCCTGAATTGACGTTCTACAAGATGTTAGACGTGCATGCGTCGTTAATAATTAAGAAATAGTCTGAAGATATATAATCTTATAATAACTCTAAATTATTAAAAGAAATTAAAAAAATGTATAACTCCATGTAGATAGATTCTCCACCAAATGCAATAATTATCATGTTGTAGTCGTTGGTGTTTGAATACATAAACCACATAAATAACAACGATTCTTTTTTTTTTAATTAATTACTGATATTCGATCTATTGATCGACTAATCCAGATTGTATATTGCAGAGGCGATGACGACCCTATACCTGATATAAATAAATTAATTTTTTTAATCATTGAAATGAACTGATTCGTGCTACTAATCTTAAGAAATCGATTTGTTTATTAAAATATACAGATGAGTAAAGAAAATCTATTACGTTGTCATTATAAAAAATACATTAGATGAGAAATTAATCGGATGAGTACATTAGTTTGGGAATTAAACATTCTCACATGTCTTATTTGGGCACTTTTGCCTTGATTCTTTTGTCTCTAATAATGTTAACGTAATAGATTTTCTTTACTCATTCGTAAATTTTAATATACAAATCGGGTTTCTTAAGAAAGAAAATACACTAGATGGGGAATTAATCGGATTATTGTGTATTTTCTTAAGAAAAGAAAATTAATTGAAAATAATAACTATAATATTTTTTAAATAATTATATATAATTATAAAAAAATTATATATTTAAAAAATTATCTTACAACGAAAGATCGAACGAACTTATGAATTAAAGATAAGTAATTATAGTAATAATATTTTCTTTCCGATTAATTCCCAAATTAATATTATAGTAATTATTTTCAATTAATTTACGGATGAGCAAATAATTTTTTTTCCTGATTACCGTGTATTTTTGGAGATTTTCTCAAAAAATTACCTTTTCCTTAAATATTACATGTCAGACACCCTTTGAAATAATATTCTCGGTCTAACACCCTTTGTATTTTTTAATTTTTTTAGTATTTTATTTTTTCCTTAAATCATTATATTAAAACATGTACTGAAATGACGTCTTTCTTCTAGTACCTCTAACATGAACCTTCTTTGAAATATTCATTATCACCTCCTCAAGAGTTATGTTTCTCTTGAAGGATATTTTAACATAATTATTTAATACGAAAACAACGCCGATTTCATCTTCCTGAATTTCTCCATCATAATAAACAATAGCTGAAATTCGCTTCATTCTTACATATAAACGTAAATAATTTAAATAATATAATTTTATATTATTACCGTATCAACAAAATATTTCGACGTATGCTATCGCTTTCTAATTTCACAAACCTTAAAAATTAATTGAAAATAATTACTATAATTTGTTCTTCTTCAAATAATCATATATAATTATAAAAATATTATATATTAAAAAAATTACTTTACAACGAAATATCGAACGAATTTATGAATCAAAGATAAGAGGATTGTCGGGTGATATTTAAGGAAATATTATCTCAAAGAGTGTCTGCCACGTAAATATTTAAGGAAAATGTGATTTTTTGAGAAAATCTCTAAAAATGTACGGTAATCATAAAGAATTTAACTAAAGACTTCGGGTAATCATAGGAGCAAAAACTAAAGACGTTGGGTAATCCCTTAGAGTAAAATTTTAGTCTGAAGACGTCGAGATATCTTGAGGACTTTAGAAGGTACTGTATAAAATATATTAGATGAGGAATTAATAGGATGAATGCATTAGTTTGAGAATTAAACATTTTCGATATCTTATTTGGACACTTTTGCCGAGGAATCTAACCCTAGACCTACAAAATAAGCTAAAATATTACCCCCAAAAAATCTCACCACTGAAATGACAAATTATTGGCCTTTTGACTAATCGAAATTAGAATATCGATGTCTATACTTTAGGCAACAACTTCATATATTTCCTAATAGTGGGCCTACGGGAGAATTTTTTTTAAAATAATTATTAATATTTATTTTATTTGATTAATTTTAATTAAATATAATAAAATTTTATTATGAGAGCCATTTTTTAAATTTAATTTATTTCATTGACAATATCAAAAGTTAAAATTTTGATTTTATTTTAAAAATTTACTAATTATCCCATTAAATCAACTTATTTGAAGGAGCAAGTTGTAAGATAAAATCCAAACTATATAATATCATTAGCCATTTCTTTTCTGACAAGCAATCCTGAAATTCAAATTTAAATTATTAATAAACGACAATTTGCTTGTTGATAATTGAAAAGGCATGCTAATCCAACATTTGATTTCAGTTCACACCAAAGTTTCATTTGCATGAAAAATATATTAGATTAGGTTAAAACAATCATTTTAGTTATTACAATTTTAAAATCAATAAAATAATTATTAGATTTATCGAAGTATTATAAACGAGTCGAAGATATAATTTATAATAATTATGGAAATTTTAATAAATTTTAATTATTATTTTATATAATAGTTCAGGAGTAAAATCCTAACGATTGTGAGTGGAATAAATTAGGTTGAGAGGATCGCAATTACCTCTACGTTACCTGATAGGCAATAATAGATAAGGAACAAGCATATGCATATAATTATGTGATATCTATATATTTTGTCTAGAAAATATCTTTTAACTTTTATAAATATAATCTATGAAATATCTCTCACTTTATTAATATAATTTTTTTTTATGAAACTTCAATAAACAACTATCGGATAAGTTCCCATAAAAATAACAGAAAATGGCGCCATCAAAAGTGTCGTGTTGGATACTTCATGAAACTTCAATAAACAACTATCTTAGTTTGTTTTAGTACTTAAGTTTTTATATTTATTTTTAAAAATCATACGCAACGTTTAATTTTTATTTCATTTTATTATCCCATCATTAAAAACATAACGCATTTAGTATTTAAACTATCGATTTTTATCCGTTTTAGTACTTAAACTTCCAATCTTTTCAAAACTTAACGTTAAAATTTTGAATGTAATACTACATGAAACAAAAACTAAAATTTTTAATGACGGGAAAGACTAAACTTCAAGTATAATTTTGAAAAAAAAATAAAAATTCAAATACTAAAATAAACCAAAACTAAGTACTAAATGTTTAATTTTTCTTTAAATTTTATGATACGTACAAATTGTATAGTTTAATGAAATAAAATTATAATTTAAAAAAATCAAAAAAAATTAATTTTTAAATATTTTAAAAATATTTAATTTAAATTAATTAATTAATTATAGAATAATATAAAAATTCCACCTTACGTCATTCGCATATTTTCCGAGAAACAAAACACGCGACAACAATGGCGAAAAACCAAGATTGACTGAAATTTGAGGCCCCACCACCGCTATTTTTCTCATCTTTCTTTGGATTCAAGCGAAAGGGAAGGACTAAAAATTATATCGTTAGTCTATATGTATAAATTATAAATTTAATCTCTATTTTAAAAAATACAATTATAAATAGATAGAAATTTGGATAATTTAAAAAATTTACAAAAAAAAAATGAAATCAATACTTAAAATTCAAATCCCAACTTAAATAGATAGAGCTTTCTTTGTTGGTCCTTCTGGGCATGCAACTCGGCTTCCTTAACCATCTTGTCGATCTCATCATCTGAGAGACCACTAGATGAGCGGATGGTGATTTGTTGTTCTTTACCAGTAGCCTTGTCCTTGGCAGACACCGTGACGATACCGTTTGCATCGATGTCGAATGTCACCTCAATCTGAGGCATGCCTCTGGGAGCAGGAGGGATTCCTACCAAATCAAGCTCGCCCAACATTTTGTTGTCGGCAGCCATTTCACGCTCTCCTTGAAGCACCTTGATACCTATATGAGTTTGATTATAGGCTGCTGTCGAGAACACCTGAAAATCAAAGAGCCTCCATTAAACATGAAAACAAAAACAATATTCATAGAACATATGGATGGAAGCAACCAAACTAAAGCTCAAGCTTA